ACTTGTGATGTTTTTTTTATGATGAAAAATAATAAAAATCTTTTATAAAAAAAAAAAAAGAACTATTACAAAAAGAACAACTAAAAAGGAAAAAGGGGAAAGCAAATATGATTATAAAATACAATATATGAGCTCAATTTTTAAATCCAACATTAAACATTGACCACGAGATAATATCTTATCTTAGAATAATTGAAAACACATTTTAATGCTGATATTCATTCAGAATGTTTACTATCAATATTGCATAGCTTAAAATTTCATTGATTTACATCTATAATAAACCTTCTACCAAGGTACACACATTTATCTAATTACTCTAATTTACACCATTTATGCATAACTTGTCATAAATGTTTTCCCCATCAAACATAGCTATATGGGTCTTCAATGTGTAAATTTTCAACGCCATACTCTTTGTTGCATCATACAATCTAGCTAACATTTGGCGCAAATTAGTTTTTAGACAACAATTTGGCATCATCTGTATACAAAGTTACAGAACATGCATGTTCGTATCCACACTGACACATCTGTGTCACAAGCATTCCTTTTACATTTACCTATAAACTAAAAAAAAATCACACAACCTTTTATTACTTGATCAATGATGAATAATTTGCTAAATATTTCATTTATTCTCCCACATGCTTTATTTCTGACTCTGAATGTATTCAGCAACCAAATTTGAACTCTGTATTAGCACAAACAGTAATTCAAGTGTATTCACTTTATGATACATTTTTCTACATTAATAAACATTTTTTCACATTCATACATTATTTAATGAGCTGGTTGACACAATAGTTTCATGAATTCATGGGAATTGATCCAACAGCAAATACACAATACTTTGGAATCCTTGGTGCTCTCTGAGCTTTCTTCTTCTCTGAGCAAACCCCCCTCTCTTCGAGCGCTGACGATGTTACCTATCAGGTAATGAAATGTCTGCAAGCAAACAACCGAACTCAGAGAACACCAAGGACCCCTTAGTTCCACCCAGTATTCTCTTCTATTGATAACACAGTACTTTCTTGTGATTTCGCCCCTTTTTATTATTAAGTTACTAATTTCATTTTCAAGCATGTAAAGTAATTATGGTAGTATTTAATTATTGCAGCTAAAAGAGCTGAATTCTTTTTCCCCCACCTCCCTTCTGCCCTTCTGATAAGCAGTAATGACACGGCAATAAAACAATAAACCAATTTATTTATTTGCATCTGTCTAAACATAAAGTTAACTCACTTTCTCTTCTGGAGGTATGTGCAGGTTATAGTCTCAAAGTGTGCACACCTATATCCAGATTCTGGCCCACCCTCACTCCCTTTGCAGTTAAATAATTACATGGCTGCTAGTCGTCTCTTGGCAGGACATGCATTTTCCTCTTTTCAGCCTCTCTCTTCAGTTTCTACAAAAACTCTCTGTGTCAGGATGTACTGTTTTATATCCAGTTGCATTTTCCTTTCTTTTCTGTGTATTATTGCAATAAAAATAAATAAATAATAAAAAAATTATGCCTGTGGCAACTTGTAATTATTTCATACTATTCTAAGCAGCTTCTATACCACAGGCCTAAAACTTATTAGAATTACTATAATAATAGAATGTTGCAAGCCTGAACGTGCTTCCTTCTTCCCTCTTTTATCTTGATGTGAATTAGGGGATGCCTGTCTTACACTATTTCATAAATATCTACCTTAATATGGGTTTAAACCACGTTTACTGTGAATTGCCTTTGTAGGGGGCCTTCCCTGTCTGTCATGGCCATCCTCTAAATTCACTATAGTACAGTACTTCAGGAGCATACTGTTATGTGCTCCTGGGGACTTTCCTTCGCAGCCAGTGGCAAACCTGCCTGACCAATAACCAGTCACGACACAGTGAAGACCTTTTGTTTCATTTATTGCAATAAGCGGGGAGAAGCTATCAAAGTTTGGTTCTCTCCAAAGTTCAACATCCCAAATCAACATCTTTATACATTCCCTACACTGGCTGCCCATCCCTCCTCGTTCCCCACTGGCTGAGGTACTATAAGCTTACATTCTCTCCCACTGCCTTCTACATATTTCCTGCTACCCTACCCAAACATACTAAATCATACATTGCATGTGTATTTAAATGAGCAGACAATGTATGCAAGGTATGTCAGACGATATTCAATAGTCTATTGAACATGGCCTTTTAGTTTGGTTTTTTTATTCCTGGTTATTTTATGGATCCTTAGAAAAATAGGTTCTTTTCAGTTTGTTTTAGTTTTCCTGTTATTCAGTACATTTTAGTTTTGTCTTTCCTGTTTTTCAATTTGTTTTATTTTACTTTTAAGCTAGCTATTTCCTCTTGCAGCTACTTGCTCTTACAGCTAATTCCTCTTACAATTTTAAATTTTGAAGATCTTTCATTTACTCCTATCAATACCATGGCTGATTATATTAAAAGCATTAGAGATCTACCAGTACAAAGAGAACTGAATGCTCATCATACAAGTCCCAGAGAAGTTCACCCACAAGAGGTCACTGCTGTCTCTTTCCCAGAAGTTTTGCTACTCAAGGTCCAACCATCTTCTCCAAGATCTTCCTTAAAACTGCAGGGTTGGAAACTGAGGGCAAGATGTGGGGTCAAAAAAAATCACCTTTTTAAAGAGAACGATTCTCTGCTTTTAGGCAGCAGGACAATTTGCTCCATTCAAGAACACACTTAACCACCTCAAAATCCACTCCTTCACCCCTGCCTTAATCACTCAAAGAAGCCAAGGAAGGACAGAGATCAAGTCCCCAGGTAGCAGAGAACTCAAAACATCAAGAACTCTATATCAGGGGTCTTCAAATTTGGCCCTTTTATGACTTGTGGACTTCAACTCCCAGAATTACTCAGCCATGCACGCTGACTGAGGAATTCTGGGAGTTGAAGTCCACAAGTCGTATAAGGGCCAAGTTTGAAGACCCCTGCTCTATATCCTTAGAGACAAGAAGATGGAAAGTTTTTAGAATTAAAATGAATTCAAACTAGATATAAGGATAAGATGTATTAGTATTCCTTTTGTATTCTGCAAAGTCTGCCATTGAGACCTATCCTGCTGTAATATCTGATGCTGAAAAACAGACCTATAATAGGGAAATATAACATGCATTGAACTGTAGCCGTTGACTATCTGTTCTCATGAAATAAGTTGTCTCACAAGAATATGTGGTTAAAGCCCAAGTCATTTTATGTTGCAATGCTGTTATATTCTGACATTTTAAAAAAGGTACGGAAATCAAATGCTACCAAGCCCTCCCCCATCCCCACTAATTAAATGTAATATAAAAAGAATCTACTGTGTTGAAGCTTGTGCTTTGGAGAATGCCTTGGGATTCTTGGAAATTAAGTCTCACAGAAGTTTATTTATGGAGCAACTGTAAGCAATTGTTTGTTGTTTATGAGTGAGGTCTCTATTTGCTACTTTTTATTAAATTTTATTCCTATCTACACCAGGCATGTCAAACTCGCGATGTATCGCGACGCATCCAGCCTGTGGGCTGGCAGTTTGACATGCCTGATCTACACATTCCTCCTTGCCTTATCTTTATAGTCAGCATGGCTCTTTCAACTTCAGTACAAAACCACTGCACAGATGCAGGTCATATAGTTTTGTTAAAGGTTATTTACACATTATATCCTTATATCCTTGCAACAGGCTCAGATTTCAAGTAATTAATTTTTGAAGACACTTGCTATCATGGTTTTAACACTGAAGAGATTTTAAAGCTGATTCAGGCCTGGAAAATAAAGCACTTATTTAGAGTTTTCCCACTAATGTAACCAAATTGTTTATTGTCCCCAAAGCTATCATTTTAAGGGGTGGATGGGTTCAGTTACTATGGTGATGAGCGAACCATTGGGAAACCTGAAACAAGTTAGGGATAAATTGTGATAGAGAAAACCTATGTATGCCTTTGCTAAGGTAGGACTTGAAAATGATTACGCTGGCACATAATCATCTTCACTGAGACAGGAAGAAATAAAAATAAAACGATTACCCCAGACTCATCATTTTGAACCATCCTTTCTTACAATAATTTAAAATTCAGATGTCATCCTTTTCTGAAATAAGCATCCCTACGCCCAAATTATCTACCACTTTGAATTGCGTTTGTGACTTTATTATAAAGTGCTCTGAATGTTCAAATAATGTGTGTTATATTTTTATGCTACCAACTGTCAACGCCAAAGCAATAAACTTGGCTGAATAAATCTTTTTTTTTTTTTTTTGGGTCTCAAGTCCTTCTACAACAGGGGTTCTCAACCTTGGCAACTTTTAAGACTTGTGGACTTCAACTCCCAGAATTCCTCAGCCAGCATTGCTGGCTGTGGAATTCTGGGAGTTGAAGTCCACATGCCTTAAAACAAGGTTGAGAAACACTGTTCTACAAGAACCACATAAAGTTTATTAAGTTTTCAAATTCCTACGAAGAAAAAAAAAACTTGCCCTGACCTCGAACTCAGCCTCGTTCCTACTCCTCCACCGCCAGGAGTTACCAAGGAAAGCAGGCTCATTCTGCTTAGCGAACTTTAGATATTTGATATTAAGATTTCTCAAGTCCAGGGAATAACGAAACTTCCGAGCTCTCCTACCTATTATCAAGGCAGGCAGGCAGGCAGGCAGCCAACCACCCCTCTCACCACAACCGAGTCAGAGGTTTCCCCCGCCAAAATAGCCATTTCGGCTTGGCTCAGAACAGTCCCACCTCCCGGACTCTTGGACGCCGCCTTTAAGCCGCTCCTCTTAACCACGGCGCTGAAGGCCTAGGTGGCCTCGGCGCCTGAAAAAATCTGCGACCCAAGACTGAGGCTCTTACGAAGGCACGGCTCGGAAGCTTGCACGAGGTTAGCTTGACGAAGCGCCCCCTGCGATTCCGGCATTCGCTCTGGCCAGCTCTATCGCGTGAGGACCTCCACCGCTCGCGCCCTGCCAGTCCCCCCCCCCCGCGCGCGCGCGCCCTCGCGGCCTTCTCTTGGTCTTTTCCTTTCCCCCCCGTAACTCGGTGCAGAGGGAGCGGTGCAAGTGACCGGACGGAGGCCGCCGTTCCCCCTGCGTAGAGTTCACCGAGTCTTTTTCCCGGGGCCTTCCCACCTTCCATTTCTTCACACACTCGCACGCGGGCGCGCGCATCTCTCACGGTGAGGGGGAAAGAAGTAAAGAAGAGCGGTTCTGGGAAGACCGTTGATCGCGGCGGCGGCGGGGGGGGGGAGAGATTGAAGCGTGGGATGTCCGCGCGTTGCCAATCACGTGGGTGGCGAGCACGCGCCTGTGCTGTTGGCGGTCGGCCCTTTAAGGATCAATCAGGTTGCCTAAGGATCGTTGGGCGCGCGCTGACAGGTGCGGTCTGGGTCGGAACTGGGCGCGCGCGCGGGGAGAGAGGAGGAGGCAGGCGGGGGGGGGGACACGTGAGAAAAAGGAGGTATTGGAAGACTGAAAGGCGTTCCGGCGGGACGCGTTCTCCGTCTCTTCCCCCCCCCCAGCAGCAGTCTGTCCCTTCTGCCGTCCCGTCGGCTCGTCTGCGCGGCTTCCTTTTTTCTCGCTTCCTCCCTCCCTCCCTCTTTCCCTCCCTCCCTCCGTCCGAATCCCGTAACGCGTTGTTCTCTTCTCAGTAAGCGATGCCCTCGGCCACCAGCAGCGCGATGGCGAGCAGCGGCAGTAAAGCGGGCAACGAGGCAACGGTAGCGGCGGCTTCTTCTTCTCAGGCCGCGGTTTCGGGTGGCACTACGAGTTCGGTGCAGACCGAGGCCATGAAGCAGATTTTGGGTGTCATCGATAAGAAGCTGCGCAATTTGGAGAAGAAAAAGGTAACGGAGGCAGGGTAGCTCTCGCCCCTTCCCTCTCCTCCTCCTCCTCCCTCTCCTCCCTCTTTCCCGGGAGTTGCGAGGGTGGGAATTAGGGTTGGTTGGAGCGAGTGGCGGCAGCTGAGGTGATTCTTCGAACACTTTCCCTTTCCTTGCGCTTCCCCGCCTGCTCTTTTGTTTCTGGGCGGAGGGGCGGAGAGGCGGCTCTTCGTCAGAACTGAACGCGTTTCCCTTCTCCCTTGGCCTCCGGGGCTGCCTTTCTTCCCGCCGCCCTCCCTTCCCGCTTCCACCGGGCTACCCGGAGACTGGAGCTCTCTCCCCTTTTTTGCTTCGGGCTCCTTCCCCTCTCTCTTCTTGCACATGGAGCCGGCCCGGACCCAACATGGCGGCGGCGAGAGGCAGCGAGGCTTCCCGGGGAGGGGAGCCTCATTGTGTGAAAAAGGCTGCTGCACAAAGGCCCGGCTGTTTTGTTTGCTTGCCCGCCCGCTCGCCCGAGTCGCGCAGCCCTCGCCGTCCGTGTGGGTGCACGCGCGCGCCCCCGTTCCTTCTCCCCCATTTTAGTTAGTCCTTCGTGTGGAGAAGCGGACGTGGGGTGAAAACATGATCTCTCTCTCTCTCTCTCGGTCCAAGGAAGATTTGCGAGGGGGGGGGCAACGGTCCTGTAAAAGGAAGTGTTGAAACTTTCGGCACTTTATTAAACGGTGTTTGTTTTTTTTTAAAGTTTAGTTATCGCCGAACGGCGGTGGGGCCACATCTAGGCTTAGTGAAAAGACCCGAGGTGATATCTGAAAAGAGCAGCGATGTATGGTTAACCTTCGGGACGCTTAGGTTTAGCGGTGTGACATGCCCTGCGCTCTTTTGTCAACATTAAGGCCCTACCAATAACTAGGCGATGAGATTTGCTCTTAACAATCGGTATTTATTGGAGCAAACTTTTTCTAATAACTCATGCTCGCTTTATGGATCTTTGGTTTCAATTTGACATTGACTATTCGTACAAGAACTGGTAATAGTGAAAAGGTGTTCTCATTGTATATCGCAGTGATGGCGAACCTTTTAGAGACCGAGTGCCCAAACTGCAACCCAAAACCCACTTATGCATCCTTGGGTGCCAAGTGGGTGTGGCCCATTGGGTGGGCGTGGCTGCGGTGGTAACAGCAAACTGGGTGGGACTAAAAAGTTCAATCAATCAATTCCAACTTTGCAAGATCTTTTTTTTCCCCTGCAAGAAGTTGAAATTGGCTGATTGATTGAACCTTTTTTTTTTTGTACACGGCGACGGAGGCCTAAAGCGAAAAGGTTTTATAAAACCCAGCTGAAGGCCTAGGACTGGGGCGACGGCGCGCGTGCCCACAGAGAGGGCTCTGAGTGCCGCCTCTGGCACCTGTGCCACAGGTTCGCCACCACTGGTATATCCCAACTTGCCAAGGTCCTGATGTAATGTACTACATCGATTATCCCCCAGTCTCTGTGGACATTACTCTGAAGGAGATGGGGACAAGGTCAGTATACCTAAAGAGCAGGAAATACCTCTCTTGATTCTCTCTTTCTTTATTCCAAAGAATAAAGATCCCGTGGAGCAGGGAATGAAGTGGTATTGACAATTGTGAGAGGAGAGGAAAGAGCAAAATTCAACTTCCACAGTTTCTGCTGGTTGAAATACTTTGATGGGAACTCTGTTCGCTAATTGCTTCTACCTCTATATAGAAAAACAACAGTCTGTGCAAATGTGCATTAAACTGTTAGTGATCACAATCAAAAGAGCAGTGTACAACTAGTTTACCAGGTGTTTGCCAGGTGTTTCTAAAATGATAGGAAATGTGAAAACATAGCTGTGATGGAAGAGAAGCAGCGGGGTGCTTCTTAGCTTGCTGTATTATGGGAGTGTAATGAATCAACTTTAAACATTCAACTCATTGAAAAATTAAATACTTGTTTGAGCAAGGCTTCCTTTCATCTAAATTGCATGGGAACACATTATTAAATTACCCTTAGATTTTTATATTAAATATTGCCTTTAAGTTCAGTAAATGTGAAAATGTGAAAATTCACTGATGTAATTCACTAATTTTTTGAATTAGTGAATAAGATATCCACATGTTAGGAAGTTATTTAGACTCAGTTTATGCAGGCCCTCAATTTTCTAAAACTCCCTTTTCTAATCTTTGTATCAATTCTGCCTCTTTCAAAGATCATAGCTTTGGTGCTGTTTTTTCCTACTTTTGCAATAAGATTAAAGTTTAGTACACTATGGAGGACTGCTGTTGTACTTTAATCTTAATAAATTTATCAGGGCTGTACATGGCTTTGAATTCATTTCAATAACATTGCTTTGAAGCACAAATGTGACCCATGTTAGTGACTCATTGAAGCATTCCTTGGATCACATAGCTACTTTAGTTGTACCTAATGTTGCTTTTATGTTGAGGTGTCCTTTTCAGAATCAAGTCCAAAGTGTTATAAAATCCTAATGCTTCTCTACTTGATTTAAGAAATTTAGTTTGTGATTTAGCATTTGTAAAGGAAATTTTGTTGCAATATATAAAATATATATTATAACTGCTAGGGTCTTAAAATTTTAGATTGCAATATTCTGGTTGATACCATAGTTACTTAAACCATTTGTAAAAATACTGCTGATTTTGAAATTAAGGTATCTGTGCTCGTTATGCTTAATACTGAATGAAAGATTTTTAAGCATTCCAGCAAAGATCGCAATTACAAAAGCACAGGTTTGAATGTAATGTTAAATTATACTAAGACAAACATGGCATCTAATCTGTGTGGTGGTCCAGATTTTGCTTCTATTTTTGATTAATCACAATTTACTGGGTCATTTGAACCAAGGCAGATTTCAAAATCACATTTGTAATAAAAATAAGCCAAATTCAAACCATATTTTATATCTCCTGTATGTTCTCATAACAATAGTAGTGAACAGAGCATGGCAAGTTATAAAAAGTTTGTTCTTACAATGCTAAGTATAATTGTGTAAGCTTCTGGTGTCCTTCAGATTATATCTTTGAACATAATATGTGGGTCTAATGTTAGTAATCCAGAACATATTGAATAGCCTTCTCTAGGGCTTCAAAAAGGCTGGAATGTCATCCAGGTGGGGGATTTTGCAAATTATATTACCATGTTAATGAAGGCTTAACTAAAGTGTGTCAGATTGCCTGTATTCAGCTTAAACTGTGGCTCATTTACATTTGGGCAGAACCAAAGGGATCTGACATTGCTATATGTAGTCATAATATTAGAATTTTTAATCTCCACAATAATCCATTTTCAAGAATATCCTGTCTCAGCATACACTATGATGTAGTGATAAAATCTTATGAATCCTGAAATGATATGTAAAATAATTTTAAAAAAGTTTTAAATGGTAGGACCACATGACTGCACTCATAATGTCATTAAATAGATTGTGCATTCACTTTGATCTGGAAATGCCAGTGATGAAACTGAACAAAAAGATAGATTTGTTCTATCAGTTTCTGTTCAATAACTTCCTCAAATTAAACTTGCCAGCAATGCAGCAGAATTTATCTGTAGAGGTCTGTTAAAAAAACTCTAGGAATACATTTCTGCATGTATGTTGAGATCTCTGGATGGGGTATCCCCAGTATATCTGTGTTTAGAGGTAACCTTGCATAGATTAAAAAATTGAATCTATTTGACCCCAAAGTAAAATGTCCTTATAAAATCTAGTTGTTGAGATTTTAGTTCTGAGTTTCTGGTTTTTAAAAAGCACCGCATCTAGTACTCTGGCCCACAAAGTTCCCTTGTGTGGGTAACATTATATTAACATGTGCAATGATAACCTCTTATCCCTGATTGAGATTTGGTATATGTAAACCTTCCTTCCACTAGGTAAGAAATACTATTTTAAAGAAACAGAAAATAGTGAAGTTATAATCTTAGGTATTTTCTTGAAAATGAGATGATAAATACAAAACTTGGATAAAATAATTTTGCACATAATTTTCTTGTGCAATCAAATTAGTACCTATAAAATTAATATTGCATTATAGTTATAGTTGCCTTAAAGCCACAGTTAATGTTTTTATTGGAAATGTTTATTCAAGTATATGCATTGCAGCCAGTTTACTTGGATAACTCTTCAGTATTCCTAGGGTTTTGTTAGGTAAATGCAAATTATCATGCAGAAATTAGTTAGCTTCTTTATATGTGATATAATATGGAAAGCCCTGGGAAATTATCTCCCTAAATTTGTGGGTCTTTCCTTATTAAAAATAGTGTGCTTTGTAACATAATTTTGTAGAATGAATCATATCTCAAAATCAAAAGACATTTTTACATATCTTAAGAAGAGTTGTTGAGGTGTGTGCGGCTGGGCAGGATTGTCTGAAATGTACAAATCATTCTTTCCAGTAATAGTCCAAATTTTCCCAATAATAATGTGTATGGTTCCCCAGTAGGTCACAGAGAACACAAGGAGACTATAAACAATCTGCAGGCCACTCTTGTCATTTCAGCATAAATAAGGAAAATTTTGAACAAGAATAGCATGCATGGAAAGATACCAAAAATAAAACCTTTGTGCTCAGGAAAGCTCTTTGCTGCCCATCTCAGATTCACCAAGGACTGCCCGGATGATTCAGTAGACTATTGAATAAGACTACTGATAAAGTTTGATCTTTTTAGTAGTTAAAAAGAAACAATTTATTCCACTGAAAGAAAGAAATTAATTCTATTATGAAACATGGCGACATGGAATATCATGACTGGACAACTTGCAGTCATTAAGGCAATAATGGATTCTGGACTACATCAAATTCTACAGAAAAAAGTCTTAGTCTCTGTCTATGAGCTAAAGCTTAAACAACATGCATAATGCAACATGAAAAAAGCCCTAAGCACATAAGTAAATGTACAACATAAGTGCTGGAGTAAAACAAGCATTTTGGGATGCTTAAGTCAAAGCCATGGCCCAGGTGAAATATGCCATGATCTGAAGTGAGCAATTTATATGAAAACAG